CTCTCAATGTCTGAGCTGAATTACAGATTCCCACAATCATTTCCAAAACCATTATATCTCTGCGATACAGCAGCTATCCATTTTCCGATTTTAAAACCGTCTAACTTACCAGCAATGGTCCAGGATTCCTCCTCACCGCTCCACGCCATCCTTTTCTATCGACCTTCGACTGCCAGGATGGAACAAAAAATCTTAACAATTAATTCTCTACCAACGACTTCGATTGTCCAACGCTACTGGTTCCTTTTCATTGCTATTCCCAACGCACATCGTTGTCTCCTTTATCTCAAGATACAGTTTTTTTTTCCCGCCATTTCAGACGTCTAAAATGTCTTTAACGAAAAACAAGAAAACATACTTCGACCTTTCCACAGAGCGACCATTCCCAAGAGCAACCACGTACTGCCAATACGTCATAACAATCACGCAATGATAGCGATCACGCCATAATGACATGAAAATCCCAGATTAGGATCTTTCCACTTCGCTGATTAGCAACACTCAAGCTAGTCAACAAAGCCGACAATAAACATTTTGATTGGTTTATTTTTACCTGCGCGACACAACAGCGTCCTATCATATCTCATAAGGTATCTATTTGTTTCCTTCATATGATTTTTACACTCCCCTCTCCATTTACATCTTATTTCCTTTCATGGCGTTTCCAATCAATCTACATCTACAAACTTCACGCCATTTTTCTACTTTTTACATTCTCACTTTTAAGTTTCAATTTCTGGGTCCATTTGTTTTATTTACATAATTATTCTCCTCTGTATTATCTCCGCATTTTGCCCCAATAAGTTCCAATATGTATTCTTAAATTCTCCAGTAAGTTCCGCTATTTTTCCTATTTTCTTCAACAAGGACTCGGAGCGAGGATGTCGGGCATTGACCTGGTACCAGGTTCGAAACATCCTCGCTCGGTTGTGCTTAGTCCCTGACGACTCACAACCATTAGGAGACTTGGTGCCGATGCATCCTTTTTTCCTCTACCCGACCGGATGGTTTCCAATTAATTCCATCTCTATCCAACTTAGACCTCTACTCCTCAATCCAGCTCCTTAAAAAATAATTCAATTTGCGCATATTTATATGTACAAGAATAAATAACTCCATTCTTATTCCCCATTTTAACCTGTTGGTTCGTAAACAATTTTAATATATTCGTAAACAGTTTTAATATATTCTCAAATTCCCCCTCTACAAAATTATTTTTGAAACCGGTCCCAGACCCCCACAAGACACATTAACCCCAACCCCTACCCCACCCTCAACCCGTTATCAATGCGCTAACCGTAAACAGGTTTCTACCTGACCCTTTTCAATATAATCCCAAGCAAATGTCATTACATTTACTGCAACCCACATTTGAGAACGAAGATTGCTTCCCTTCTATATATATTCCCAAACAAATATCGTCACATTTCCTAGAACGAGAATTGTATCCTTTCTATATATATATATTCCCAAACAAACATCCTCACATTCCCTACAACCAACAATTTAGAACGAAAATGGAAATGAAATTTTTTTTCTATCGATTTCCTTTTTCCTTTTCTACAGCTACAACAACTTAACGTCTTATTGAACTAGATCGAATCCCAACTTTACAATTTTTTAACACCTGCATATGGCAACAATCAAGACAACAAATTCCTAATGAACGCCTACAACTTTTCTACTTACTTAACGGAGACGTCTTCTATTCCATCCAAACCTAGCCCACCAACATTCAGCAACCTTTCTGGAAGAAACCAACAGGAAACAATGACTCTTTCAAACTTATGTTATTTTTTATTGGCAACGGCTGTTCACCAGAAGTTACTGCAAAATGGATCTTAACCTCTCAACATTGGGCTTCACATTCCAAAGGAGAAAAGAGAGCGAGGCAAATTGATTTCATTGTGCAAAACCTCACATCCAAAGCCCACATCTGGTTTCATTTTGACATTCACCATGGTCAATGGCTTTATCTGAATGGAGAAAAAAGAGATTCGATCAATCCATAAATAGAACAGTCTTATTTAGCACAATCTACATCAGTTATATTAAATTTTGCAGAACGCTGGGTAACTGCGCTTTTCCATTATGCAGGATGGACAAAAACGATAATAATAACTAACTGACTGTTTAGAGAGCCAGTCCTAAGGGTTCAATTCCTGTTCGAGGCCAGCGATCCCCAACTGGAGTAACCCTATAGGCGAAGCGGCAAGAAATAAAAGCACTTGTGAAAATGAAGCTGAAGGAGCTCAGCAAAGAGAGCTCTGTTTTCTAACCAATACGATGAAATAACACGCCTGATAAATATCCCGACGGAAAAGAATTTACCACCAATCAAAATTCTTACACTTCCGGTAGTGTGACATTATGTTGCATTGTGTATTATTCAATCAGCGAAACATCCAGATTTTGGATGTCCGACATAGGCCAATTAAAACGTTTGTGTCAGGCCTTTCTCTGCAATTCCCCCCTATCCCTGCCCTCTTGTTAAGAAAGGCTTGATACTCAGGTTATTTGAGTGTTAGTGTTGGCGCTTTTCATAAATTTACCGCAACAAAAGTTGAACACTGTCACTTGGATTGGGAAGATCTCAAGTATGTCCAGATTCACACAACAACCTTTTTCGGTCATTCCGATTTGAGAACACGAAACGAGACCTCCTGTCCAAATTCTGCCAGCGCATCATCTGGCAATAATCAGCACGCAGTTCCACCCACTGTCCCAGAGCCTTGTAGAACCTGGAATTATACCAGTGCTTGCAACTGTGATGAGCAAGATGCAGCTGCTTACAAGAAGCAACACCGATGCCGAGTGTGCGAGGCTGATGATCCTGACTTCATACTGCTTTGTACCCTCACTCATCCACAATGAGCGATACTCAACACTAACGACCTCTTTGACCTAGAATGGACATGAACATGAATCTTTCAACACTTAAGCTAACATTCGACATTTAATTGCTTCGCCCCATCCTTATCCAAAACGCCTTTGGCACCAAGGTTTTAGTTCCCACGTTGCTTTTGCTCTAAAAATGGAGAATACTTCTCTCAAACTACCAAGATAAAACGGTGAACGATTTCCTTTCTCATAGTTGGCCTATTAATTGCACCGCACCTACATGTCCCGTCTCATCATTACATAATCATCCTTTAGCTTCACACTTTGCTTCTCATGTGCAAGTCCATATTGGCACTGAGTCATCCTGGAATGTTATGGCCAGACCCTTTGTTTGTCACCACTTTCTGGATGACTTTGTTTACTCTCCTCTTCAGAAAATTCCTAAACGAGGTTCATCGATGTGACGGGTTGTTATGGACCTGAGTTTTCTTTATAGCTCCTCAGTTAGTGATAGCATCCCACAAGATACTTATTTGGGCAAACATCTCAAGTTACAATTACCCGGGATGGTCGGCTCGTTGAATGCATTCTTGAGAAGGCCATAACTATCTTGTTTTCTAAAGACTCGTGGCGAGCGTACCGGCAGTTCCCTATCAATACCAAAGACTACAATTTATTTAAATATTCTTACCAAGGACAATCTTATTCTGACACTCATTATTCTTTCGGCTTATGTACTTTGGCTATGATTTGCAATGCACGACAAAGGTGGTTAATTGTCCATATTTTTACAGAGCAAGGTTTTTTGGCAGATGTTTATCTCAATGACGTTTATGACGCTAAATATTCTTCTCTTGCTTCTCTGGCTTTTCCTGACTCAGTCATTTCTCCAACTTGGACTGGATTCTTCACCTAAAAAGGATTCGCCGCCTTTGACCTCTGATTTGTCTTGGCATTCTCGTAGACACAGCAGCATTCTTTCTTGAGGTTCCTACTAGCTGTCTCGAGGAATTACTATCTGAACTCGCAACCTGGCAAGCAGCTACGTTTTTCACCAAGAAACAGCTTCAGTCTCTTTCGGTGAAGCTCTCCTTCGTCACTGTGTGTGTTAAACCTTGTGGAAACTTCAAGACTTGACTCCTTAACAGTCTTCACTGGTGCAAGTGGCCAGCTAACCACCATTACCCCATTTCCACTGCTATGCTCTTGGACATCCAGTGGTGGTTTGATTTTCTTCTCTGGTTTCACCACGCTTCTCTTATTAAGCCTTCATTTTGGGATTTTAAGAGCTTTAATTTTTCCAGTGGCATGTGTCTTCATTGAGGCGGCCTTAAGTTTGTCACACTGAGCTAGTTGCATCAACTTCGTGTTTCCTGTTTGCATTTCTCCCTCTACTCAGTTACGGGGTCACAAATTTATCGTTGCATGCAATAATTCTGCAGCAGTTGCAGTCATCAATTTTAAAGTGCCCCTTCAGTCCTTGATTTGCTGTCTATTTAGTAACTTCATGTTGATCAAGCTCTGTGACTAAGTTGCATAACGCTTTGTTGGCACCAACAAAGTTTCCAATTTTGCATATTTTTGTAATTCTCAAGTTCTGTTCAATGATACCATTTCTTTTTTGCAAGTAGGATTTCTGTCTATGACGTTTGAGGATTAGAAAATATTGTTAATGCAGACATACAAATGGACAGTGGGGCATTGTTTCAAAAGATTGTTTCTTCGATAGTGTAGCTACTAAGTTGAGTAAATTTACCAGTATTTATCTAGTGAACAAGAAATTCAAAAGGAACAAGGCTATTGGCCTTGTTTTTTTAATATCTTGTGTTTACTTGCTATCTGCGTTCCTACCTGTGACTTGCTATAGTCAAATGCTGTACCTTTATTTAAATGAGTGAAAGGATTTTCAACGATGTTGCTCTTTAAAGATAGACACTTTGTTTCATTTGCCCACATGGAAATGGAAAGTCCTTTTCTTCCAAAAGCTGAGTCAGGGATTCTAGTGACACTTAATACAAGACATTTTTTGTTCTTGCAGGACAATGTTGTTTAAGACAAAAAATATATTATTTACAGTGACCTCCCTAGTTTATAAACTCCTTATAAATGTGGTAAACCGTTTTCTTTTAGTTACTAGACAAAGCGCTTATGGCAGTGATCGACCATACTGATATGTAACTTTAATGATATATAATTAATGCTAATTATCGATATCTTTTTGAAGGACTCCTGTCGTTAAAGAATTTTGTAAAATGGCTGGTACAGAGACAATTCATATCACATCTTTGATGACACTCTGTCTGATGTTTTATGGAGTACCTGCTCAACAATGTGCAACTGAAACTTCCATCTATGGAATGATGCTGAAACAGCATGTTTTTAAGAAAATCACGACAACAAACTGGGCTGCACCTGCATTTGACTGTATAAAGGCCTGCAACAATGACATCAGATGCCAAAGCTTTAATTATGTTATTTCCCAAGAAATGTGTGAGCTGAGCAACCGTACAAAGGAGGCAAGACCTGAAGATTTTGTGGGTGACTCTGACAGGTTTTATTATAGACGTCATAAGAAAAGAGGTAAATTTATGGACTACGTGAAATATGCACAAACCAAGAACTTCAGACATAGGAATAACAGTAAATTTTGTCACTCCATAAATTGTCGCAGACACTAAATTTTTGTGGTGCAACATAATTCTAATTTCAACTTTTCCTGATGCAATCACTTTTTTGGCCGAGGTTTGATGTCATGTAACCCTGAATAACTTGAAACAGCTGCAAATAACATATGAATTTCCATTCTGAATAGCCTGAAAGGAATATGAAAATTCCTTTTCAAAAGTGTTATCTCCTCTAATTAAACTTTGCTAGTAAATTGAGCCAAATAATGGCTATGAAACAGACAAATACATTTTATTATGAGACTTGTGTGATGGCTTATCTTACTTATTTGTGGAAATAAGCCTAACTGACAGCTTGTCTCCCACCAGTTGCTCTTGGTTCTATCCCCGAGTTACCTGCTGAATCATGTAAAGAAATCAAAGCGAGCGAAGGAGTAGAAGCAGTCAGTGGCAAATACTGGTTTGATTCTATCAACCCTCAACCAAGTGTACTTGCTTACTGTGACATGGACACAGAAGGTGAGTCAAGTGATGCGTGTATTGACTAAATGACACAGGAAGTTTTAATCTTGGAAGAAACAGGGTCGAGAAAAAGTAAGACTCACTCTTCCCAGATTTTCTAAATTCATTGATAAGGTAAATAGCCCTGCATTCAACATACACACAAATTTACTACAGTCTCAAGGAGCTTAACGAAACTAATTGCATGTTGATCCATGGTTTAAAGCGTGTCATATGTTAGTGATACATTCTCATCCTATTTGAAACAGCTTTTCACTATCAAAGTAGGGCAATAGCTGGATTTCCTGGTTTTCTTCACCCCTCTTGCCAAACAATTGAGTATAAGTAGATTCACCGTTGTACTTATTTAATGAGTGATAGCATAGCTAGAAGGAGTTGTAGCACAAAGGAGTCAGTTGATCAATAAACTGTAAACCTTTACAAATTATTCATGAAGAACATTGTGACTGCAATGGCTGCTACAGCGATGAACTGATCTTTCCACCTTAGAGTTGAAGAAGTGCTCGTAGATAAAACAAGACTATTTGGTATACAGCAAAGATGGTGAATACAATGGAATTTGATCCATCGATAGCTTTGGCACCTTTTAACTGGAGCATTATCAAAAATCATGCGGAAGGGTTTCAAGTGCGAAAAGTGTTTTTGTTCTGCGAGTTAACTTGAATTACATTTATTTTATGATAACTATATCAACACAAGCCATCTGTTAGTAGTTCGGGAGAAAAAAATTACCTCAACAGGATTCAAGCACAGGAAATTCAGACTACTGCATCTGAAATCTTACCACTTGGACATCCAACAAGTGAGGAATTATTCATGAAGAACTCACAGATACAATGAAAGTACCAACTGCCGATTGATTGATGACCTTCAAGTGTTCCACGTAAATAATGTTAATGATTATTTGTGAATAAATGATTGCTGTAAAATGTATGTTGTGTCACACAACATACAAACTCCTTAAAATATTTTTTCAACCTTTATAATATGAAATATTAATATCACGAGTTGGCTTAAGGAGCCTTTGATGTTTATGGTATTGCAAGCATTACCATCTTGTTGTTATTGTTGGATTTCTCAGACATCGACGAATGCAGCGCCTCTATTGATATATGTGGTGCCAATGCTGTCTGTGAAAATACTCCAGGGTCCTACTGGTGTCAGTGTAAAGCTGGTTTTACTGGAAATGGATGCACTGGTAAGGATGAACGATTTCCCGAATTGTAGTGTTCTGTAAGGTTAACTGAAAGTATTCATCATTTAACCTTGTGAACAATGAAAAGAAAGAGCACGTAGCATAATACTAAACAATCTTAAAGGTCACAAGGGAGAAGGAGGAGGTGTGGTGATCCTTTTCCACAAATATAGCAGCAAATGAAGTCTTTGTGTTTTGAGACTAAACTCACGATGGAGTATTCAGCACATTCATACTTTCTTTGGAACAATGTATGATGAAACAAAGGTTCAATAAAGGTTTTGGTAGATTTTTGACTTTGGCTGATAACCCTTACCTTGCCCATGATAACTTTCGACACCAGACACTACAGAAAACCTCATCCAATAATTTTTTAACATTTGACAGAACCACTGGTGACAGTTACAAGCACCTGTGCCAATTTATTGCTAGAACAAACTAGCTCAAGTGGAATAATTTTATCAACCAATAACAGTGACTATGACTACAACTACAATGCCAACTACTATTATGACAATGATATGGATTGTCAGTGGAATTTAACTTCAAGTACACAGGTGGAACTTACTTTCTTTACATTCAACACTGAACTGGATGCGGATTACTTGTATGTGTATGATGGTGGTTCGTCTTCATCTCCTCTGATTGGCCCTTTTAGTGGTACATCTTTGCCTTCCCCTATAACAAGCTCATCAAACAAACTTCATATCAGATTTACATCTAATGCTTCAGTAAGACGCCGTGGGTTTAGAGCAAGTTACAGAGGTAAGACA